CGCCTGCAGTTTGGTGAAGGCAGCAGTGTTGCCGCCCTCAAAGAGCCATTTCGCAAAAACAAACACACTCTGAAACTTCCATTTCCCAATCTGCCAATTCTTGAACACGGACAGTTTCGGCTAACTCAGGTAAAGTAAAAGAAAACTTAAAGTTTTATTTTTGTTTAAAAAAGTTTACTTTGATAGAGCCAAGCGATCCTCAAGTACGTCGCACGACTTTTCGGTCTTCGAGCACCGGGCAACAACAACGCCGCACTGGCTCTGGAAGACATGCTCGAGTGTCAGATCATCGACATTCGCAACCGACTGAAAACGCCGCTCACTCGCCAGTACCCGTCTGAAGAGGCGTGGCAGAAGGAGGTGACGGCCATCAAGGAGCAGTTTGTCGAGTACTTCACACAACTGGAAAACCTTTTATCAACTGACGATNACAACAACGCCGCACTGGCTCTGGAAGACATGCTCGAGTGTCAGATCATCGACATTCGCAACCGACTGAAAACGCCGCTCACTCGCCAGTACCCGTCTGAAGAGGCGTGGCAGAAGGAGGTGACGGCCATCAAGGAGCAGTTTGTCGAGTACTTCACACAACTGGAAAACCTTTTATCAACTGACGATCGAAAGTGGCTCACCGGAGACCGTCTTAGCTACGTCGACTTTATGGCCTACGAGTACATCGACTGGTACCGGGCCCTGCTGAATGAGGAAACCCTTTTTGACAATGGCGTAACAAAGTACCCGAAGTTAGGACAATTTATGACACGTTTTGAGCAGTTGGAGCCGCTGAAGGAGTACCTCGCTTCTGATGCCTATCGATACGGAATCCTGCTCAGTCCTTCACATCGAATTACTTCACGTCAAAAACGTGGAAACTTCAAAAAATAATTTTTTTGCATGTTTGAAATAAATTGACTGAACGTCGATGATTATAAGTTTATGATTTCTCACTGTACAACACTGTTACTTTCAATTTTGTCTATTGATTATTGTACAGCTGCACTACGGTCTGCTTAATGATTAGAAAAAGTACCCAAAACGACCTTTAAGTAACTGGTTTTGATTTGCTATATAGCTGACATGTAAAGTTGTTGTGTGCTTGCAGCTAGCTCACCAACTTTTTGTTGCTTTTTCTAACCACAACAAACACTGCAGAAAACAGGCAAAAATGAAACTTGTCTACTGGGACTTACGGTACAACTGAAAACTGCAAAAAAATATTTGTTTATCAGCTTATTATTTTTGTTAGAGGACTTGCCGAGCCCATTCGTCTGCTGCTGAAATATGCGGCCATTCCATACGAAGAAGAACGTCTGCAATTTGACACCGAGTCAAGCGATGTGAAGGAAACGTTTCGCAAAACAAAGTCCTCTCTTGGTGTACCCTTTCCGAATCTCCCCTTTTTTGGTAATATGACTGTGCAATAACTAAAAGAACTGTACCACTAAATTAGTTTTTTAAAATGTACACCCTTCCAGTGGACAATCAAGTGAAGCTTACTCAGGTAAACAGTTGAAGCGTTATTGACACCAAAAATTATAAAAGTTTCTCTAAAATCCAAACAGAGCCAAGCAATCATCAAGTACATAGCACGTATTGCGGGTTTACGTGCGTCTCCAAACGACAATGCCGCCCTCGCCGTAGAAGACATGATAGAAAACCAGATCATCGACATCCGAACTAAGCTGATCATGCCCCTCTTTCGGCCCTATCCATCTGAGGCAGAGTGGCAGAAAGAAGCTGTCGCCATCAAGGAGCAGTTTGTCGAGTACTTCACACAGCTGAACAACTTTCTGGCGTCTGATGGCCGAAAGTGGTTGACCGGAGACCGCCTCAGCTATGTCGACTTTATGGCCTACGAGTACCTCGACTGGTACCGAATTCTGCTCAACGAGGAGACCGTCTATGATGAAGGCGTGACAAAGTATTCCAATCTAGGGCAGTACATAGCACGCTTTGAGCAGTTGGAGCCACTGAAGGAGTACCTGGCTTCTGATGCTTATCGAAACGCCTATTTGATCAGCCCTAACGGAAGAATTCGTTCACGTCGAGATCGATGATTTGAAACAATGAGGTAATTTAGCAAAAACATTGTCTAGTTTTGAACAGAATGACTTAAACATAATAAATAAACACAGGTATATTATATCAGATTTGTTGCGACATTATCCCAGTATTAAGTTTAGA